GCGTTAACGCGATAACGCGATAATTTTGACAGCACTAGTTTCTATGGAATCTCATTTGGTCAGCAAAGTCCCGATCCCGACATATGACTGACTTCAAACTATTGGGCTTCTCATCCTTCCTTACAAATATTCCCACTTTATATTCTATTCTCAAATTATGACAGTTTTGAGAAGAACATCTTATTGGAATCTTAGTGTTCAGTCTGTATGCAATTTTAAGGTATGACACCATAATGGGCTGTCTCTACTGGTTTCATTGCCCCATTTGTACAAAGGGGTAAAATAGGCGCATTTCAGCTGATCCTATCTGCTTTAACTGGCCTACCTGCTGATGCACAAACGTTACTTATGCATTCACAGTATTTAAATCCCAGAGTTAGCAGCTACGACTACAGTGTGGGTATTACACGTCATGCTTAATACTATATATATATATCATATAGAATGGAGATAAATCAGGAAACGGTAAACTTGTGACAATCGGGGTTCACAACACAGCTGTTTGGAGGGATTAGGTGGCTGTGTGGTTACCCGATCAAAATGTTACAAAATTCAACTGGTCAGAATAAATGTTATTTCTGGCATAATATCTATCCAATGTCTGTGGAGACTGTGAGATATGGTAAGTTGAAGTTTAATGATCAAATAAACGCATGAGTCGCAGCATATGGAAGCATTGGAGTCTGCAGAGTCTTCACAGATTAACCTGTGATCCAGCAGGATCTAGAGGAATATAGGCTGTTAAATATTCCATCACCTGGGATGTTTAGATGTTATCATGATGCTTATCCTCAATTAGGGTTGTAGCAGGTTACTTTAAATTTGTAATTGTTGATTATTTTTCATGCCGCAATTATGAACCCGTCATGATGTGTAACTATGTTCATGCTGTCAGCTTATTCCCTTCTATTGTTTTGAGGACGCCACAGTTTTTTTCTTTTACATGAAGAACAACTTTAAATCAATCGAATCAATATGGAAAATCTGAACCAATACCCAGCCCTAGTGATGATGGTCATCGGCAGTACAAGGCCAGATTTGTGGTGAAGGGGTATAGCTAGAGAGCGGAAATAGATTATAGTGAGCCTTTCACCCCCACAGCCAATATAACAAGTGTGCGTGTAGTCATGCAAAAGGCAGCCCTAGACAAGTTGATACTACACCAAATGGACATAAAGACAACATACCTACACGCGCCAATAGACCGAGACATTTACATGTGTAAATTACAAAGGTCAATGTATGGTCGGGTCACAATTGGAACGAAATGCTGCACAAGTGTATGATAAGTGACAACTTCACACAGAACCCAGCGGACCGTTGTTTGTACACAAAAGAGTCAAAGCAGAAAGGGAAGGTGATCATAGTCATTTGGGTGGATGATCTGATAATC